TCCCTCCAGCCACTCAACCCACGCGTCCCTCCAGCCACTCAACCACGCGTCCCTCCAGCCACTCAACCACGCGTCCCTCCAGCCACTCAACCACGCGTCCCTCCAGCAACTCAACCACACGATCCTCCAGCCACTCAACCACGCGTCCCTCCAGCCACTCAACCACGCGTCCCTCCAGCAACTCAACCACACGATCCTCCAGCCACTCAACCACGCGTCCCTCCAGCAACTCAACCACGCGTCCCTCCAGCCACTCAACCACGCGTCCCTTCAGCCACTCAACCACGCGTCCCTCCAGCCACTCAACCACACGTCCCTCCAGCCACTCAACCACGCGTCCCCTCCAGCCACTCAACCACACGTTTTTTAAGCCATTCAACCACACGTCCCTCCAGCCACTCAACCAGACGTCCCTTCAGCCATTTAACCACGCGTCCCTCCAGCTACTCAACCACGCGTCCCTCCAGTCACTCAACCACGCGTCCCTCCAGCAACTCAACCACGCGTCCCTCCAGCCACTCAACCACGCGTCCCTCCAGCCACTCAACCACACATCCCTCCAGCCACTCAACCACGCGTCCCTCCAGCCACTCAACCACACGTCTTTTAAGCCACTCAACCACACGTCCCTCCTGCCACTCAACCAGACGTCCCTCCAGCCACTCAACCACGCGTCCCTCCAGCCACTCAACCACGCGTCCCTCCAGCCACTCAACCAGACGTCCCTCCAGCCACTCAACCACGCGTCCCTCCAGCCACTCAACCACGCGTCCCCTCCAGCACTTCAACCCACGCGTCCCTCCAGCCACTCAACCACGCGTCCCTCCAGCAACTCAACCACACGATCCTCCAGCCACTCAAACCACGCGTCCCTCCAGCAACTCAACCACACGATCCTCCAGCCACTCAACCACGCGTCCCTCCAGCAACTCAACCACGCGTCCCTCCAGCCACTCAACCACGCGTCCCTTCAGCCACTCAACCATGCGTCCCTCCAGCCACTCAACCACGCGTCCCTCCAGCAACTCAACCACGCGTCCCTCCAGCCACTCAACCACACGTTTTTTAAGCCATTCAACCACACGTCCCTCCAGCCATTTAACCACGCGTCCCTCCAGTCACTCAACCACGCGTCCCTCCAGCAACTCAACCACGCGTCCCTCCAGCCACTCAACCACGCGTCCCTCCAGCCACTCAACCACGCGTCCCTCCAGCCACTCAACCACACATCCCTCCAGCCACTCAACCACGCGTCCCTCCAGCCACTCAACCACACGTCTTTTAAGCCACTCAACCACACGTCCCTCCTGCCACTCAACCAGACGTCCCTCCAGCCACTCAACCACGCGTCCCTCCAGCTACTCAACCACACGTCCCTCCAGCCACTCAACCAGACGTCCCTCCAGCCACTCAACCACGCGTCCCTCCAGTCACTCAACCACACGTCCCTCCAGCAACTCAACCACGCGTCCCTCCAGCCCCGACACTGCCACAGCCGTGCGGTGGCGAAGGTCGTGACGACGACCGACAACGAGGTGATGGCACTTAATGAAGACTCATACTTAGCTCCGACTGATTGATGACAACGTTGTTGATGATGACTGATTAATGACGATGACAACAAATTGATGGTGACGAGGAGAGCGAGGAACGGTGACGACCGTGTCGATATTCATCCAGTGGCGCCTCACCGAGGCCCCAAAGGCCCCCCGGAGGGCGATAACAATTGAGAGGTCTGCACAGACGGGTTCGTGAGCCCAATTAAGGAGCATGCGTCCACCGCCGTGCTCCGCCCGGCTCCATCGCTCGACGATGCCCACGGCAGCGGCGATCAGACGAGGGAGCGGAAGAGGAAGGAGACGGAAGCGCCAAGCGACAGGCCGAGCGACAGGAAGAAGGCCATGATGGCACCGGCCGTCTCGGCATTGTGGCCAGACACCTTCCTGCGTCCACACACACACAAAGGCAAAGATCCGTCATATAGCCACCATTGAAGGCCGGCACTGTGACACACGAGGAGACGGGTGGACGGGTGACGTTGCTGGGTGACGTTTCTGGGTGACGTCGCTGGGTGACGTCGCTGGGTGACGTCGCTGGGTGACGTCGCTGGGTGACGTTTCTGGGTGACGTTTTTGGGTGACGTTGCTGGGTGACGTTTCTGGGTGACGTTTTTGGGTGACGTTGCTGGGTGACGTTTCTGGGTGACGTTTCTGGGTGACGTCGCTGGGTGACGTCTCTGGGTGACGTCGCTGGGTGACGTCTCTGGGTGACGTCGCTGGGTGACGTCTCTGGGTGACGTCTCTGGGTGACGTCGCTGGGTGACGTTGCTGGGTGACGTTGCTGGGTGACGTTGCTGGGTGACGTTGCTGGGTGATGATTATGATGTCACTACGCGATGGCGGTGGTGGCGGGCGGGCGGTGGTGGTGGTGATGCCGCCGCACGGCGATGATGTTGTTGTCGCGACATGATGCCGCCGATGCCGCACGCTCGCGCACTTGGGCCCGTAGCACATGGCGAGCGTGGCGAGGTATCCGTTGCTGAAGGCGAAGAGGAGTATGAGGACGATGAAGACGGCGTCGTGCGGGAAGAGCACCGGCAGCGCGGCGGCGCCGCGAGGGTGGACGTTGCACATCATGAAGAGCGGCACAAAGGCGGCGCGCGCGCACACGAGCAGCAGCAGCAGCCACAGGCTCCCCCTGCTTGGCTACGCAGGGGGACACGGGGAGGAGGACAAGAGGAGGGGGACAGGGGGGGGCACGGGGGGGGGACACCAGAGGGGTACGGGGAAGGGGTCATGGGGTGGGGGACATGGTTGGGGGGGACATGATGGGGGAATCACGGTGGGGGGGGGGACACGGGGAGGGGCACGCAGTGGGGGGGGGGGGGCACACGTTGGGGAGGGGGACACGGGGAAGGAGGGTAATGAGGACATCATCGTGATCATCGCCGTCATCATTGAGAGTCGTAGTTGGTTACTCTTTGGCTCGGTCGTGTTGGTGTACAGCGAATCAGTGGAGGAGAAGGAATGTTGAAAAGCGAGGACAATTGTCAAAGAAAATGTTCTTGCTTTTCAATATTCCTCCTCTCCTGCCCTCCACTCCACCTCCTCTATTTCCTCCACCTCCTCCTCTCCTCCACATCCTCACCTCGATCTCCCCCGAGTCAATCGGCACGTTTCTCCCACGTGGCAGATTCATTTGATTGGCTCCATCGGGTGACGGAGGGCACCGCTGCCAATTGGCATCATAGCGGCTCTACCAACTCGCCCAAAAGTAACTCGCTATGCAGCATGACAAGGTTGTGAGAGCCTTCGCATAAAACCATCACCGTTTACATCATCGGAAAAACCAGCATCACTGTCGCCGTTGTCGCGAGTGGGCAGCTCCTTCGCCGCTCGTTGCGCGAGGTGTTTGCGGTTCGAATCTGGCGGCCGCCCCGGGTTAATTCTGTGGTTTGTGTTAACCGTATAAAATGCCAACCGCTCCACAGCGGATGTTAACGATCCCGCGAGAGCTGCTCAATGTGCAGCCCAGTACCCGGCATTGTCCTCCGTCGTCGTCATCGTCGTAAACTGGTCGAGTCGACAGTAAACACCAATACAGGCGCACCGTGCGGTGTGCAGTAAACATCAGCCCTGGGGATACAAAGGAGGCGGCCGGGCATGGTGCTGTCCCGACAGCCCGCGGGGGCTACACGAGTGACCTTAGTCTCTGTGTGTACGCGCGCGACTCACAAAATTCACGAATGCAGCGAGGGTTCGTCCCGCCCAGTCGAGGAGGTTGAAGAGCAGGAAGCACGAGACGGGGATGAAGAGGATTTCTGGAGAGAGACACGGGGAGGAGACACGGGTAGAAACGTGTGAACACACAGGGACACATCAACACGGGAAAGACACGGGGACAACACGAGGAGACACGAGGAGACACGATGGGGATGAGGTGAGCTGAAGGACACATGGGCGGTCGTAGGTTGGAGTGGGTGGGAATTTTACCGGAATGGTGAAGTATGGCGCTCACCCCATCGGCTCCCCGGGGTGGCGTTGGTGCTGACGACGTCGGCGGTGATGGCGGGATACACGCCGAGCGTGATGGTGAAGGTGAGGCACACGCACAGCGCCGGCATCCAGATCTGCGTACACCTCCTCTCGTCAGCCACGCAGCTTCCCCGGGAACTTCGGCTACCGCCCCGTGGGGCAAAAACGAACGCTCGACGATTAACCTGCGCCCAGTGTTAGAAAGGCAGCACCCTCCACGCAGTGCGTCTTGAGGCTAATTGAGGCTTTCCTGAGCAAGAGATATGCGACTCCCCAGTAAATATTGGTCCAACGTTGGCATGTGGTTGGAACCGTTGGCTCAATGTTGGTCTGACGTTGACCCAACGTTGGCATGTGGTTGGAACCATTGGCTCAATGTTGGTCCGACGTTGACCCGACGTTCGCATGTGACTGGAACAGTTGGGCCAACATTGACCACGGCTATCGAAGAGTCAACCAAGCTCACCCCACGCACGACACCCTCTTACCATCAACGTCACACATGGTGGAGAGAGAGGATGTGCCGATAAAGATGACACTGGTGGCAGTGGTGTAGTAATGGCATTATCAGCTCAGTGGGTGCAGCAATCGGTCAGGTGGGTCCCCAATATTTGACTTTTCTCGCACGGTCACACCTAGGCTTTTATATATCTCGGCTCCTCTTGCCCTAATCGCATCATTACGCTCACGGTCTCGAACACTTAACGCTGTAGGGGGCGCTCCGTCTTCGAACAATGCAGCCACTACAGCTCCATAGTACCTCTTTGCAATATAATTGACGTGTATCTAATGACACAAATATCCCAGAAAAGGAGTTCTATGTCCAATGTTCTTTTACTCAAGTTACCGTCATTTAAATCAAATTAGGTTTCGTTACGTTACATTACATTTATTTACGGTAAAATAAACCTATTCCAATACTAAAGTCTTGTCAAGGGTGCCCTAACTCGTAGCTTTGGCCACCAAAGGAGGGGGCAAGGCGCCCCCTGCCCCCATGCTCGTTACGCTACTGGATGGTGGTGATGGTGGTGATGGAGATGGTGGTGATGGAGATGGTGGCTCACACCTGTTTTAAGATTGAGAGCACAGAGTCTGGTTCCATGATCTTGGGTTCGGGTTTTGCATCCAACTCAAACTCGGGGCCCTCCCCGTCCGGCCGCTTGTTGCCCTCTGCGCAGGTGGAGATAGGAAAGGTTTAAGGTTAGGGGTCAATGCTGATGTTATAGTAGGAATGGGGTCAAGGTTATAAGGGATATATTTACTGTAGGGCTTGGGGTAAGATTAGGGTCAGTGTAGGGCTATCGGTATAAGGGAGGAGTAAACTAAACTATTTTTATTCTTGGTTCTTTCGGTAAAGTCACGTAGAAGGGAAACAATAAAATAATAAAAGTATAAAACAATAAAATTATCACAACGTTTCGACTGCAACACAAGCAATCATCATCAGGTGTGAAACCTGGTGTGAAAACCTGATGATGATTGCTTGTGTTGCAGTCGAAACGTGGTGACTTTAAGGAAAGAACCAAGAATATGAATCCCTGCAGTCACGAAAGTTTTAAATCAATATTTTAACTATTTTTATTGTATTTTACCAGTTAAGACCCACTGAGCTATATAGCTCTTTTACAGAAGCCACCTGGCTAATAATAGCTCAAGGAAGTGGCTTATCATCGTGTGGAAATGTATAGCAGCCAAATACTCTGAACGCGTGACGTTGATTCTTAACGTGGAGGGGGAAACTGGAGGGTAGCTGTAAGGTTAGGATTAGGCTATGGGTAGAAGTGGTGTCGAGGTTAGGGTTACGGGTTGGGGTTAGGTCGTCATGTAGGGCTATAGTCGGTAGTAGGGCGAGGGCTTTGCTGAGAACTCATTAGGTGAGTGAGCGAGGCTGCGACTCACCAGCTACGATGTACTCCCGCACCCCTGGCTCCTCCGCCTCATGGCCTCGACCCCTCTTCGAAAAATAAAACTTTGCAAAGTTCTACAGCAACGAGATCATCAGAAACGATAACAACATTGAGGACGAAGACGAGGTGGCGATGATGATGATGGTTGCAGAGACGATGATAATGGTCGGAGTGGTGGAGACGACAGTGCTGATGATGATGACGGTGACGATGATGAAGAAGGTTGTGGTGTTTAATGATGGTAGAAAAAGTTCTGATGGCGGTGGTGAGGGCAACGTACGAGTTTGGGCATGACGAGGTAGGCGATGATGGTGATGAAGACGGTGACGCACGCCGTGATGAAGTAGCCAAAGGCACTGTGGCTGTGGTCGTTCTGTTCTGCACACAGTACGGAGACACAGCAGCCTGACCCCTGCACCCTGACCCCCGCACACAGACCCCCGCACCCTAACCCCCGTACCCTGACCCCCACACCCTGACCCCGACACTCTGACCCATCATAGTGAACGACACATCTCCATGGTCGCTGTGGTCAACACGCGGAGGTGAGCATGTGTAGGCGAGAGTGCGTGGGAGATTGCGTGGGCGAGCGCGGGGGTGAGCGTGTGTGGGCGAGTGTGTGTGGGCGAGTATGTGTGGGTGAAAGTAGGGGGTGAGCATGTGTTGGTGAGCGTGTGTTGGTGAGCACGTGCGAGTGAGTGTGTGTGGGCGAGCGCGTGTGGGTCAGTGCGTGCGGGTGAGTGTGTGTGCCGGACACGCGACACTTTCGTGGGCAGTGCCGTGGGGGAGGCACAATTCCAATTGGCTTTTCCCCTCATGGCATTTGTAACCACCACAGAGGCTAAATAGGGGCTCTGGACGGGTGCGAGGGGCCGGTAACCCCTCCACCTTCAATTAATTACCACTAAACCACGACCACAAAATTTAATAAATAAGCTTGTGCCGGAGGCCCCGGGGAGACAGGCGTCTATGACGTCTCCTGGCCAAACCCCATTTGGCGGAGCCAGAAGATCGAATCTTTACCTACGGGGTTCCTCGAGAAACAACAAAAAACCACTACGTGTGAACACGTGGAATGTTCGAACGCTCACTGCGGAGGAGAGGCTGCCACTCCTCTGTCGGGAGCTGGACTGGTACCGCCTGGATCTCTGTGGTATTCAGGAGGTCCGGTGGACCGGCTCTGGCTCCTGCCACCATGAGGGGTGGACAGTCCTCTACTCGGGGCAGGAGACTGACAAACAACAGGGTGTGGCTCTTCGACTGAATAAAAGAATGAAGGGGGCAAGGGAGTGTGGCGGTGAGGTGTAGGAAGCTGTAAGCCTCAGGCTCCTTTGGGCTCGCCTTCCCATCGACCAGAGGCGAGGAGTGGTGGTCATGGTTACTTATCTCCCCACTGAAGACGAACATCCGTGGAGGGATGCAGGCAAGGCCGATGAGTCAGATGCCTTCTATGACCTCCTGTCACAGATGCTAGCTAAAGTGGCCCCTCGGGATAGAGTCATTTTGTTGGGTGACTTCAATGCCCGAGCTGGTCATGATGCTGGCACCTGGTCTGGAGTAATTGGAAGGCGTGGGCCAGATCAGCTCAATAACAATGGCAGGAGGCTGCTAGATTTTTGTGCAGCCCATGGGCTTGTAATTACCAACATGCTGTTCCGGCATCGGCGCATCCACACCACATCATGGATGCATGCCGGGTCCAAGCAAGAACATCTGCTGGACTACATATTGATGGAACAGTGGATGCGGGCCCATGTCCTTGACACCAGGACCTACTGTGAAGCTGATCTGCCCACTGACCATCGACTTGTCATCTGTAAGATGTGACAGCCATTCTTTCACTCCGGTGGTGGGTGTACACCCAGGACCCTATTCAAACCCTTAGTGGCATGGTCTCAGCTAGCTGATGAAAGTTGCAAGCGAGAATTTGATCATCACTTGCAGCTGGGGTTGGCATCGTCCCCCACTCCTCCTGATGTCGAGGGGAAATGGGCGAGTTTTAGGACTGTGGATCATGCAGCTGCAATGGCTGCTTTGGGTACACGGTCCAGACCTCCCCAGAGACCCTGGCTGACAGAGGAGGTGTTCAAGCTGGCTGAGAAAAAGCGACAGGCCCACTCTCATCAGCTACGGCATCCCACGTCGGAGAATGTGGAGGCTTACCGCAGCCTTCGCTCGGAGGTTCAGAGGCGCTGCAAGGATAGGTGGTGGCCGCGGGTTGCTGAGGAGATGGAGTCTGCCTCAGTGGCCCGCGATTACAAATCGTTCTTTAATTCCATAAAAAGACAACCTGCAGCGCCACACCTATTACCATAATTAGGGGAAAGAACGGTGATCCAATCTCCGACCCCCAGGAACAGGTTTGCAGATTTACTGAGCATTTCTGTGAGGTCCTGGGGGAGGGGAAATCCCTCGGCATATAAAACATCGTGGTACAAAGTGGGGATGACCCTGCTAAGGCTGCGGTGGCACAAATATTGTAGGAGGAAGTCACCCCCTGTGAGTGGCTGGCTGAGGTGCCATCTGTTGAGGAAGTACTGAGTGTGATCCAGAGTCTGAGACCAGGAAAGGTACCGGGCAGAGATGATCTCCCAAGCGAAATGCTGAGGGAGGGTAACGTTTGTGCACAGACTGCCCTACATGACATCATAACAACAGTCTGGCCCACTGGACGGGTTCCGCAGGATTGGAAGGATGCCCTGGTGGTCCCCCTCTTTAAGAAGGGGGACCGCACAGACTCTAACAATTACAGGGGCATCTCACTCCTCAGTGTGCCGGGAAAGGTCCTGGCAAGGATTATTCAACATCGCCTTGCGGAGCCCCAATGCAGTTTCAGGAAAGGACGGTCATGCACAGATGCCATATTTTCTGTCCGTCTGCTACAGCAGAGGTGTAGGGAATTCCAACAAGACCTACATCTCTGCTTTATTGACCTGGTCAAGGCCTATGATACCATCAGTAGGCCTGGGCTCTGGCTTGTTCTTCATGCTTTCGGAGTCCCTGACCCTCTGCTCACGATCATTAAGGACCTTCATGATGGTGAGCGGACCTGGGTAAAACTACGTGGCCGGGGGCCAGAGGACATCCCTGTTACACCCCAAGGTGTACAGGGAATGGCTCTGACTCCCACATTATTTAACATCTTTTTTGACCACGTAGTTCGTGAAGCCTTCAATAGCTGTACCAGAGGAATTTCCATTTGGTACAGATACAATGGGAGGCTGATCGATGCCCGGGTGCGGTCAAGGGATGGCTCCCTAATGCTCAACCACGTTATGTATGCCAATCATCTGGGAATTGCTGGTCACTCCGAGGAGGAGTTGGAGGCACTGCTGCTGAACCTGGAGCTTGCCACCAAGAGGTGGGGCCTTACCATCAGTCCCACCAAAACTAAGCACCTGCCTGAGTATTTTGTACCATCGGACACTCCACCCCCACAACTCCCAATCGGTGATGGGGCAGTTGTGGAGAGAGTGGAGAGTTTCCCATACCTGGGCAGTGTGCTTATGACTGGCTCCAGTTTAACAGCAGAGGTCTCACTCCGAATCAGTCGAGCGGCAATATCTTTTCATCGGTTGCGTAACGCTGTGTGGAAGCTACCTGGTCTGTCGCTCCGCACTAAGCTTCAGGTCTTCTCGGCCACGGTCATTCCCTCCCTTCTCTACGCTTGCGAAACGTGGACCTCCCTAATGGAACATCTTCGCCGGTTAGAAACATTTAGGCTGGCCTGCCTACGATCCATCCTGGGTTTAACCAGACTGCATTGTGTGAGGAGCTCACAAATCCTTGAAAGATCTGGGCAGGGTCCCATCGGTGAGCTCCTCCGGCAGGCAAGGCTGCGATGGCTGGGTCATGTAGCCCGCATGCCCAGCCACCGCATGCCGAAACAACTTTTGTTTGGCCGGATTGAGGGGGCTAAGCGGGCGCGGCACGGGCTAGACAAGAGATGGAGTGATGTGGTACAGGAGGACGTGGAGCTGAGTGGACTTGCTGATGACTGGTACCAGCGGTGTCAAGATCGGCCTCTGTGGAGGAGGCTCGTGAAGGATGCTACTGGGCAGTTGGAGGCAGTCGCCCTCCAACAACAACGGAGGACGGAGGAGCGACGCTCAGAACAACGAGCGGAGCGCCGGGTGGCTAAAGCACAGCAGGTTGGCACAGTAGGGGGCACAGGTGGTGCATCAGCTAGTCATCTCAGTCAGTCGACCCGTGGCACCTGGGTCTGCCCCGTGACCTCCTGCCAGCGGGCGTTCGACACTTCACGTGGCCTCAGGGTGCACATAGCCTGGCACAAGCGTCGTGGTGACGTCACCGCCACTTAGTGGCGAATGGCGGTTGTTGTTGTTGTGGGCGAGTGTGTGTGGGCGAGCGCGTGCGGGTGAGTGTGTGCGGGTGAGTGTGTGTGGGCGAGTGTGTGTGGGCGAGTGTGTGTGGGCGAGCCGCACGCAACAGAGAGAAGATCATCGCCATGGCGGCGAAGGTCCCGGCCATGCCCTGTCCGCTCATGACAGGTACAGCGTAGTTCAGTGGCAGCAGCCCCACCAGGCCGAAGATGCTGCCTTGCAGCACCGCAACAAAAGCTGCGATGGCGACACGCCAACACCACCATCACCATTAACAACATCATCATCGCCAACATCATCACCATCATCAACAATACCATCATCATCACTACCACCATCAACATCATCAACAACACCATCATCAACAACACTATCGTTACTCTCATCATCACCCATCGACATCACCGTCATCGTCCGCTGAGGAGGTGGGCAGTCAGTTAGGACTTGGCCAGAGAAGAGATCAGGACAGCTTCAGAGTGCCTCTTTGAGTTGAGACTAAGGACCGATATGAGAGTTCATCGCCGACGACTGTAGTCTGATGTTGCACACTCGAAATGAAGGACGTGGGCAGGTGCTCCAAATCGAGGGCAAACACATTTATTGTGGTTAATCTGTAAGATGCAACAGCATGTGTGTCACACACAGCAAAAAAATTATATTAAAACAAAAAACAATCACGACGTTTCGATCACAACGCAAGCGATCTTCATCAGGTGTCAAGAACAAATCACGGAGGTAAATACAACAAAAAGATGAGAGACGAGAATTCAACAAACCTGAAAAAACATTATGTGAAGCACATCCAGTCAGGCCAACAACACAGTTAGACACTTCCTGGCGGACCACGAATTTCAGAAGAGTGTTAAATTTCGTGTTCAACCTTTGGATTGCACATACCAGCATAGATAGAATGAAAAATACGAGGTACACGGTCAGTAGAAATACATATACAAGTCCACCAAGAGGTAAGGAGGGAGGAAAGACGGACAGGGAGGCAGAGAGAGAGAGGGTGGGGGGGCCGGAGGGATGAACAGAAGCTTAAATAGTAAATACGGTTGGAGGGGGGGAGGGGCTAGAGCGAGAGCGGCAGCTCAAACACGCACATCTTACACATACAAAACTGGCAGCTCCAAAAATTACCACCTATTGTAAATACAAAACGGCAGCTCAAAAAGGACCACCTCTTGTAAATACAAAACGGCCGTTTTGTATTTATAAGAGGTGGTCATTTTTTGAGCTGCCGTTTTGTATTTACAAGAGGTGGTCCTTTTTTGAGCTGCCGTTTTGTATTTACAAGAGGTGGTCATTTTTTGAGCTGCCGTTTTGTATGTGTAAGATGTGCATGTTTGAGCTGTCGCTCTCGCTCTAGCCCCTCCCCCCCTCCAACCGTATTTCCTATTTAAGCTTCTGTTCATCCCTCTGGCCCCCCCCCCCCACCCTCTCTATCTGCCTCCCTGTCCGTCTTTCCTCCCTACTTACCTCTTGGTGGACTTGTATATGTATTTCTACTGACCGTGTACCTCGTATTTTTCATTCTATCTATGCTGGCATGTGCAATCCAAAGGTTGAACACGAAATTTAACACTCTTCTGAAATTCGTGGTCCACCAGGAAGTGTCTAACTGTGTTGTTGGCCTGACTGGATGTGCTTCACATAATGTTTTTTCAGGTTTGTTGAATTCTCGTCTCTCATCTTTTTGTTGTATTTACCTCCGTGATTGGTTCTTGACACCTGATGAAGATCGCTTGCGTTGTGATCGAAACGTCGTGATTGTTTTTTGTTTTAATATAATTTTATTGTATTTCTACATACGTGACTTTACTGAAAAAACCAATGAGTAATTTTATGCAGTCACGAAAGCTTTAATACTTTATTACACACAGCAATCCTTCAACCGAGTCGCCATTAACCATGTGACTGGTGTACAAGTGTGGTTATTCAAGAACCCTGCCAGCCGCCTACAGGCCCAACTCAGTCATCACCTGCTGCTGTACACACATGCATTGATGCGCTGCCCAGCACATCAGGACTTTCACAGAACCACACTTTACTCCCTTGCTGCACAAGGAAATAATTAAACGAGTGATCCATTCCCAATGTGCCACACTGATTTCTACTGCTAGAGTATTACAACTGTCTTCTCACGCACTGTTTACTCAGTAAAATAGTTCAACCCCTGCGAGGCCTTCCGCTTTGCTGCCCGTCCGCACCTCCGATTAGCCACAGTTGGCTACGTACGGTGCGAAAGAAGTTCAACCTACGTACATACGGATACATCGCGCTGTCCACTGGGGGCCGCGTGGGGGACTCACAGTTGATGAGGAATGCGGTCACCATGATGATGGCGAAGAAGGTGGATGGCTGGTGGCTGAGCGCGTGCACGTGCACCAGCGCCGTGGTGAGCACGAAGAAGACGAGGATGACCACAAGGCTGCCCAGCATGCGCACGCGCTCGGGGATCCTGCAGCAGCAGGATCAGCGTCAGCAGCAACACCGCCAACGCCGGTGAACACCGTGCGGGTGAACGCACAGGCGGAACGACACGTGGCGCAGGTGAGGGCGTGCGCGCACGTCAACACAGGTTAACGGCGCGTGGCGCGGCTGAGCACGTGCAACACGTGTGTTACGAGATGGATCTGGTCACAGCCATCACGGAGCGGACAAGGGGCTTTTTTGAGTTTCAAGGTGGGGAGGCAGTGGCCCGGACTGGTTTGACTCGTCCACAGCTGCCGGGCGTTGCTTGGCACCGCGAGAGCTTCGCGGTGCCCGCACGCTCCTTCAATGGTAGTAGGAAGAGGAGCAGCGAAAACTAACGCAGAGCCCTCTCGTCGTGGCCAGCAGACCTCGCGACATTGGCGTTTAGCTGCTGGACCACATCGCTGCTGCTGCTGCTGCTGCCGCCGTCATGATGCACAAGGCAAGAGTTGGGAGAGCAAGGAAATTGCTTCGTGGGGCAAATTATCGAATGCTGCTGCTGTCACTGCTTTGGCAGTGTGGCACAAGCACAGTTAACAAACTAAACACTTGCCGCATTAATGTCAAGAACACCACCGCGTGTGGCCTTAAAATAAAATCTATACTAGACGAAGGTTTGGGAAATACTTTACCCACCCCACCCACTGCAGGTAAGTGCTATGGGGAGGGCAATTTCCCGAATCGTCTGCTATAAATGTTTTTTTTTATTTTTAGACAAGTGTTATTGTCGAGTTTTTAAAAAAATACATAATGGGGGGTGGGTTGGCAATACCGCCCGCACCCCCCTCACCCATAGCCCCTCCCTCCCCCCTCGCGCGGCCCCCACCGCCGGTGGAGCACGGAGTTGAGGCACGTGAAGAGCAGCATGGGCAGCATGGAGCACAGCGTGAGGACGCTGTTGAAGTTGCGCTCCAGGGAGCTGTCCGCGGGGTGGTGCCCCCCCACCTCGCTCGCGTTCCCCTGGACCCCCGGCTGTCCCGAGGCGTTCGAACTCAAGTACCCCTCGGCCAGACGACTCTTGAAATACTAGGGAGGGGTGGGGGGGGGTATGGGGAGGGAGGGATGGTGGAGCAAGAGGGAAAGGCGAGGTCATGGCCGGGCAGCCGACCGCACGGACACTATGCAGAAGCAAAGGATCCGTAGCCTTCCCATATCTGATGTCTATCCACATAATAAAAACACATCGTTTGCAGAGCTCGCCAATCCGCCTCATTGGCTCACGCCAACTTTGCTGCGTGGGTCGCATGAGCACGGCACTTACGGGCCAAGACGCCGAGCGGCCGGCAACAAGCAGCACTATTAAGATTGTACTAGATAAGGGAGTGGAGCGACACGTTTCTTGGATTGCGCGATATTATTATTGAAAGGGCTTGCGGGGGGGGGGGAGAGACGATGGGAGGGTATTCTTGTAAGAGTTTCTGTGCGGTGGTGATCACTGCAGACGTTATCACCATCGTCATCATGACGATGACGGTTTGTTGTTGTCGATTACAAGGCCTCCTCTACTTACGAATATTCGACTTACAAACTTTCAGAGATACGAACAAACCTGTCCGTATGTCCCGCTGCCTGTTCGGACTGAGAGTCGTAAGTTTAACCGCCGTGCAATAGATGGCGGCGGTGGTATCTACATCTGCAGAACGTGAAGAACCAGTGGCATCTACATCTACGGGAGATTATACAACTTTTAAAGCCATTCCCCGTGTTCAGTGTACATGCCGTACAACATGTTTGGAATCATCTTCTTGGTTCTTTCGGTAAAGTCACGTAGAATGGAAATAAAATAATAAAAATAAAACGTAATAAATAAAAATGTTTTATTTTTTATTATTTTATTTCCATTCTACGTGACTTTACCGAAAGAACCAAGAAGATGAATCCCTGCAGTCACGAAAGCTTTAAATCGAAATGTTTGGAATCGACAGGAGTAAAGTTGGAATTACAAACAAATCGACTTACGAACAGACCTCTGGAACCTAACTTGTTCGTAAGTAGAGGAGTCCCTGTAGAGCCATCATCCCCTCCCCCACACCCCACCCCGAGCCCCGTCCTCACCTCCTCGGCTGTGATGAAGAAGCTCCAGGGAAGGAGCGTGCCCAGACCCAAGAAGAAGAAGATGATCCACACCGCTTGAAACCTGCACACAAGTGTTTCACGTGCCCAGGTGTTCATGCGTGCAGGTGTTTCACGTGCCCAGGTGTTCATGCGTGCAGGTGTTTATGTGCACAGGTGATCATGTGTTCATGAGTTTGGGTGTTCTTGTCCATGAGTTTAGGTGTTCATGGTTTCGGATGTTCATGGTTTCGGATGTCCATGCGTAGAGGCCGTTCATTCAACGCAACCTACTTGCTGTAGACCTCTCCGATGTGTTTTCCGGGTTGTACCGCGTGTTGCTTTGGCATGATGTCCGACATCTCGCTCCGGGGGCTGGGAGAAGCTCCCAACAGGCGGTACAACCCGACAGCCCCGACACACTAGAACTCGCTTGCTGTGCCGCCACCTGTCAGCACGTGATCCTCGTGTGTGTGTGTGAGGCCCCCTCACCTGTCCCGCGGGGCATCGGACCCCGCCGTGCCTCCACCTTCCGTCTCCGTCGGGGCCACCTTGCCGGTTCCGATCACCGCCGTGGTGACTCTTGGGGCGAGACTGGTGGTCGACGAGATTCAATGGGTGGGGGTGTTTGTCACGCGCGGTGCAGCAGCAGCATCATCACCATTAATAGAAGAAACATTATCAACAGCAGCATCATCATCATCAACAACAGCAGACACATTATCAATAGCAGCAGCATCATCAACAACAGCAGTCACATTATCAACAGCAGCATCATCAATAACAGCAGACACATCAACAGCAGCAGCATCATCAACAACAGCAGAAACATTATCAACAGCAGCATCATCAACAACAGCAGGAACATTATCAACAGCAGCAGCATCATCAACATTATCAACAGCAGCAACATTATCAACAGCAGCATCATCAACAACAGCAGACACATCAACAGCAGCATCATCATCAACATTATCAACAGCAGCAACATTATCAATAGCAACAACATTATCAACAGCAGCATCATAATCAACAACAGCAACAACATTATCAACAGCATCATAGTCGTGATGGACCCGGTCTCATCTATGGTTGGGTCCCTCTGTCTCCAGCAGCGGACCCGGTTCGCGAGTAGCGCCTGTGCGGCCGTCTTTGTGTCCCCAAAATGTTCATGGGTTTTGTTGTTTGTTTACACACCGCACCAGGTACTTATTGAAGTCCGCACAGGCGTGAACATATTCGCTGTCGCCAATGAGCGGGAATTCGAACTCGGGTCGCCGGGTTCGAAGCGCAGCGCGCTAACCACTGTCCCACCGCTCCTTCGACACACACACACCGACACACACACCGACACACACAACGACACACTCAACGACCCACCCCAACCGCCCTAAACCGATTTGCGAGTCCCTCCCGCATCACCCTCTACCACGTTTACTGCCGTGTTTACACACAGAGAGCGGCGTTTATATGACAACAGGGAGGGGATATGGCGGGAGAGGAGGTCTTTGTAAAAGGGGTCATGACCCAACGAACACTAAAAATTACCACCGCGGAGGTGAGAGCAGTGACGGAGTGCGATGGGTGACCTCAACACGGCGTAGGTGAAAGGCCTTCATCCACCAGTGAATAGACCATGGCTGCTGATGATGATTGTGATGATGATGCTGCTGATGGTTTTGAAGGTGATGGTGATGATGGTGACAATGCTGCTGACAGTGATGCTGCTGCTGATGCTATTGATGATGATGCTGCTGATGGTGCTGATGAAACGGCCCGGGGAAATTCGCAGTGGCGTGCGAGGAGGTGACGGAGCGGGACCCTGAACCGAACCTTGACCAGAGACCCTGACCCTCACACGGACCCTTAGCCTAACCCTGACCTCGCAGGGACCCCTGGCCTTGACCCTAAATAACCCTGGCCTTGACCCACAACGCTGATCCTCATTGCTCATCTTCATTCTGATTGAGGGAGAGGAGAGGGGGGGGAGCGTTGGACGCAGACGGACGAAGCGGAGAGAGAGGAATGAGAGAGGGGGCGGGGGGGAGAGAAAGAGCGAGGGGGGGGGGGACAAGCGAGGGACGAGGGGGGGAGAAAGAGGGGGACAGGAGAGCGAGGAAGGAGAAGGAGTGGGGAGCTAGAGGAGAGTTGAGAGAGGAGGGTGAGAGGTGGGGCTCAGGAGGTTGTGAGGGGGGGGGGGCGGAGTAGGGGGGGGGGGCTTATGTTGGCACATTGCAAAATAAATCAATACAAAGGTGCGGAGGGATTCATAGGTCCGCAAATCTATCGCAGTTACGCAATACGCTCTGTGTGCAATGATCCACGCGGGGACCCTTTCTGTCGTCTGCTAAACAGGGGGTCACTTTCTCCCGGTTCTGTTCACCGCGATCGTGCCGCTACCGCCCTCGCGAGAGGAAGAATCCGTTCGGAAACCTCGCGGAGAGGTGCGGCGACCCCCCTTCCTGTTCGAGAGAACGGCCCGTGGAAGCAGCTATCGCGGAGCTGCCACTGGGAAGCCCTTCGTGTGACCTCTGTAGAGGCCGACCGAAATTCGGTTTCGGCGCCGAAAGTAAATTTTTAACTTCCGGTCTGGTTTCGGTTTCGGCCGAAACCAGAAATTCAGTTTCAGTCGACCTCCAGACCACTGTTCCACCAACTACACGACAGCACTTCATCAACCATCAATGCCTGTCGCGTGACAGGCACGCCGATATTTCAGAACTCTCAAAGCTGGATTTGGTCAAAATCAAGAGTGGAACCCCAATTTAATGTGATCGTAGTTTTTGTCTTTTTGCGCAGGCATTGGTGATCGGGCCGAAACCATCAATTCGCTACCCTTGAGAACCTCGCTTAATTCACAGCCATTGGATTAAACCTGGATTTTAACCCAGGGTCTGGGCGGTTATCGGTTCGGAGCTTTAACCTCTGAGCCACCCGGGATCATCTTCACGTGGTGCTACGGTCTGGAGCTGCCTCGCGTATTCCCACAGCTCAACGCGAGGACGTCCACCCGGGAGAGACAGAGGCGTGCGCAGTCAGATTCGCTCCCTCGCTTTTGGAAAACTTAATTGAATTTATTCGCGCACCAGACTCACCAATTAAATTCCACTTCCCAGCTGCTACCCCCCGCTCCCTCCATCTCCCTTGACCTCACACGCCCTGACCCACGCCTGGCGCGAGTGTGGTCACGAGACGAGACGTCTTCCGATCGGAACTCTGCAGCAAGCAGTGCATCTTCCCCGCGTCTGAGAACGGGTCCCTGGCAAATTATGTCACAGAGCCACCCCGGGGGTGGGGCAGGGGGGGGGCTTCCTCCCACCCCCCGCCCCCCCGCGATGTAAAGGCGCACGTCCCGAATTCGTTCAACCGGAATGTCACGGATTAAATGAATCGGTTTAAACTAGGCATAGGATTTGATCTTTCATCGCTGCACGGTGCCGGCTCAGTGCATCCGATTCACGAGCCACTCGCCCCAACCTCGCTCGAGACATTTATGGGGGGCGGGGTGGGGGGCACCTCCGAAGGCTGGAAGATGGGGGCCGGGCTCCGTGCCGGGTTCATCACGAGAGATGCTCCCAAAATAACCTCCATCCCTTGTGTGCACCCCCCCCCCCCCCTCAACATGCGATGAGTTTGCGTAATAATAATAATATATTAACGGAGATGAATAGACAAGAGGGGAATGAAACCACCACATGAGACTCCGAGCCAGCAGTGGCAACTCGGACAAAAAAGCACCACCACCGCTTCTTCCCCGCGTGGACTCTCCACCTCCCACGTGCCAAGCCTCGCCAATGAGACTCAACGCGCGGGAGAGGGAATTGGACATTTCGCATTCACAAGGGTTGATTCTAATGCATATATTCTGTCACGTGGTCAACAAAACGTGCAAAGTCGTTACAACGGCGGCACACCCGGCGTGTTGGACAATAAACCCACAATGTTTATCAATTGAGCTTACGGACTCAATAATTACACAATCTAATCCAAACAACTTTATTATTAATATAAAGCCTTAGTGTTACATTGCCTATTATATTATTATTATAATCATCAAGAGAATCATCGTCGTCATCGGCCGTGGTCTATCCACTGTTGGGTCGTGAAACGCCACTCGCTTGGTTAACAGAGATGTAAACATTTATATACAGTACGGTATATGTTTTGTAATATATTCCTCGTGTATATATCCGTTTATTTACAACAACAAAAAACACTCAACGCATTCGTCAATAGTAGTTGTATGTGTTGTTGTTGTTACTTGTGGTTGTGCACCACTGCAAGCGCAGCATCCCCCACACCGTGTTGCTTGACCATAACTTCACCACGGTGGTCAGTGTGGGTTTATGGAGGGGAAGAGTGGTGGGGTGACTACCAAGGACCGGTTCAGATATCAACCGCAATCAATGTTAGCCGAGTCCGGGTATCGAACTGAGAAGGACAAAGTGCGCTAACCACTGCGCCAACACTCCACCCCGATGCCTCATTCCGCAGGTGAAATTTGCACTTTAATATCTGCCCCCCTCGCTTAATATCACGCAGAGTAATACACACGTGAGCCACGGTGGCGCAAGAGTCGCCGGTTCGATACCATCCATCGGGGCGGCAAGTTGCGTCACTGGAGCAAGATTCTAAAATACCTCCCGCGCCCCCTCTCTTCTTACCGCCTCCATCCACCCAGCAGTTTAAATGGCTTACAGGTCGCTTGGGGTGGGGTAAAGTGTGGTGTGTCCCACGTCTTCCGACACTTCTGGCGGGCGTGGAAGAGTAGGCCAAATACCCATTGGAAGGGCTTCATGGAGCGACCCAATGTCAGCGCTGGACCTTTACATGTTTTACCAAGACCCCTGTGAACGCCCCCCCCCCCCCCGGCATCTCAACCCTAGACACGTTGTTGTTGTTGTTGTAGTCGTTGTTGTAGTCGTGTCCAGACGTGCGCGTATGGCGTGGGCGCAAACACTCATAATTATTAAGTACGCGGCCATCCATTTAGTACGTACGCATGGAGGGGGGTGAAGCCTCGATAATAATGTCTTCATTGGCCTTCAAATTAGTTAGATAATCCGGCGGTGGACTATCTGTTTTCTTAAACACGTTAATATTATTAATCCTTGATCGTTTCTGCGTGGATTAAATATCGACCGTTCTATAGGATTCGGTGGGGGAGGTGTAAAAAGTCCGCGTGCGTACAGGGAGGGGGGGGGGGTCAAGTCTTGACAGATTTTTGCGCACCTACTCAATGGATGGCCCCCTATCCGGTAAAAAATTAATTCACGTGCTGGAGCGGTGGCGTCGTGGTGGTTATCGCAGTGTGCTCCCAGCTACATCCCCGAGTTCGACTTCCTGCCACGAGTGATGTTGGGGATCTCCGAACCGGTCCTACCCCACCTTCCCGTACCCGCTGCACCAACCCGCGGCGTGGTGAAGTATGGTCAAACCCCCATTAACGATATGGCCTTCATCCAGCAGTGGATGGGTCGAACACCCCAATTTAGCAAAAGGGGGTCCTTGAGAATCAGTGATTGAGGGCGCTACGATTATCATCGCCCCTTAAATTCGATCTCCCGAAGTGGCAGTTGAAACAACGGTGCAAGTTTCCCCAAGTCGCCCAGCGCTGTAAATTGGTTCACCAATTGGTTCATCAATTTACACCGATCGGTAGGGAAAAGTATGGGTATGCCCCCCCCGCCACACGAGGTGAGCTCTCCCGCGCGTGGAGGCCTCGTCCGCCAATAGTGTCGTGAGTAAAGAAATGTCAGAGCTGCGCCTGTACCTCCCGTTTCACCCAGGTCTCCTCCCTCGGAGTCCTCCCGCTCACCGCAGGGGCTGCTGCTGCAGGTGAAGAGTCGAGATGTTGGGTCCCAGCTCTCGGGGTTCGGAAGGTCCGGGGTGTGTTGGTGATCCTGTGCGAAACTGTCGATGTATATAATGTGTGTGAGCCTGTGTACGTGTGTGTGTGTCAAGAGTGTGAGGCTGACTGAGCGTGTGTGGCTATCTATCTTGTGTTGGTGGCTGGTTGGGTGTGGGAGAGGGGAGAGGGGGGAGGGGGGTGGGCGATGTGACGGGTCGCCCTCACCCCCTCAAACCCATCCACGCGCAGAGTCGGTACTGCGAACCGACTGAGCGCACACGCCTCGTTTTCTCTTTACCTGCCGAGCACAACCCCGATAAAATAGTTGCCACTTAATTTATTGGTCGTGACCGGGAATCGAACTCGGGTCGCCGGGTCCGTAGCGCAGCGCGCGCTAACCACTGCGCCACCGCTCCCCCACACCACCACCACCCACGCACCCAGCAGCAGCACGTGGGCGCGGCGGTGAAGGACGTTTCGTTTTATCTCGCACTTCCAAAAGGCCTTGGAGCCTCAATCCGCGGGCCGTCTCCACCACCTACGCCGTCTGGACTTCGCACGATGACTGCCGCTCTCCACTGCTTGGAAAGTTATCCCCTGCAGGACATCTCGCGCGGAAAATCAGGGGCGCGGGTGCTGCTGCGAATGCTGCTCATTGGGCCTCTGCGAGATGAAGATGCTGATGCTGCCGAGTTGGGGGGGGGGGGATTGAAGGGTTCCTGTGTCACTGCCGCCCTAATCGGCATCGCCCATCTCTCCTCGCGTCTCTTACAAAAAACTCCGTCCTGAGTCCACCACAACCATCACGAACAACCACGCTCGTGATGAATTTGTGTAACATTTTAATGGAGCGTCGCTCAGTGGCGCTGAGGGAGTGGGCCACGAGGGGGCGACAGTTGATACGGAGAAGGATCGAGGTGGTAGGAACACCGTGCCCTCTTACAGAACCCTTTCTCAACCCAGTTATTCGGTAGTGGGAGACGCGGGGCCGGTGTGTGGCTCGGTTGAGATCGAAAGCCCCCCCCAAGCGGACTGGAAATGCCTTCCCTCGTCCGGTGCAAGAACGGGCACGGATGCGGCCCATCACCCGGCCCGTGAGAGCAGCAGACGAGGGCCCAATGGACTGGAGATCCTTCACCGTGCGAGTCTACAGGGTAGGTGTTCGTGTGCTCGCCTGGTCCTAGGCTATGGTGGGGGGGATACCAATGGACGGGGGCACTGGGGACACGCACCGACGACTTGTCATCAATGGAGCAGTCGACACGCCACAAGCGAATTGCATCTCCCGTCACAACCATTTGAAATGTGGCAACCACCCCCCAAGTGGCAGCTGTCTCTGTGGGTGTAAAGCGACCTGGTGCACCAGCCTGCACGATGGCCGACACGTGTGTAACAACGGTGCCCGCAGCTGGGCTCCAACCCAGCAGTCCCCAACTCAGCGCACAAGAGCTGCCTCTCTGGGAATGACGTCGCAGTTTATTTTTTTAATGAAACTTGACCTCTGCCGTCACGAATCAGTTCACGAGAAAGAATCAACTGGACATGGCTAAGAGTACAGTAGAAGATGGACATAATTACACCTTGTGTAAGCACAGGTCTGAAGCAGGCAACGAATCCTCACACTGGTGGGGAGGGGGCACAGAGCAACATCTGATACAAGCACACTACTTCGGATATCAGCACAGGAGTGCTTGCTCCCAAGAGAATTGCACAGGGGCCGCCCAGAGTGGGGGGGGGGGCAATTTGCTCCAGGACTGACACAAATGGGGGCCCCACAATGGGCCTTTAGGAAGCCCTGGATGGGCCTGAGCAGACACACATTCAGCTTCTACTGTAACGCCATGAACAAGAAAAACAACACTAAGAAACAACAGAAATCAGTCAACAATACACCTCGCGGCAGGACAGAGGGGAAAGGAGCGGGGTTGGATGAGCAAACACCTCCCAATGCAGACGGCCACTCGCACACCGCGCGCGCCGGGCAGCAGCAGCCGGACGGGCGGGCAGGTGGTAATATGCCGGAGGACGCCCTCTATCGCCGCCAACACAACACCAGGGCGGGCAGCGAAGGCACCCCTCGCTCCCAGAGAACCTCGGGAGACCACGACACCGACATGGCCAGGCGGTAGCGCGTTCCAGCGACCGCGGCCGCCCGCGGTTGCCGGAAAATTCGCAGGCTTTGCGCTTCGCAGTGGACGCGAGAGTTTTTTTTGTTACGTGACCGTTTGTCAAAAAAGCGTAGGCCACATGTGCCGGCGTTGCGGTCCAAATTTGGAAGAAATTCACCTGCAGATTTACTCAGCTGGGGGAAACGGCAACACCGCCTCCTGCTGAGAAAACGAGTCTCGAGATGCGGCGGGGCTTTCCCGGGTACACAAACATCATCTGTCATCGCCAACCAAAAATAAACTCCAGCTCACTGCCGCCAGGTGTGGTGACACACTGGCTCCAACCGGCAACTGCCGGGTAAAGACCACTGTGGAGTAAAATGCATGCGGACGCCAAGACAGCCAGTTGCGAGTGTCGCGGTGGCACCAGAGTGTTCACTCGTCCATAGAGCGCGGCTGGAGTAACCAAGGCATGAACAGTGCGGATTAAGGCTCGGAAACACCGCCCCGGTTCCTGGGCACACCGTCTGGGTCGGAGTTGGAGGGTCGGAGTTGGGGCGTCGGAGGGCACGGCGGCCTCGCTCGCCTCCTGAACGGAGACCGCTGCACGACCGCTGTGTCGCGTGCCACGCCGTTTATAAACGAACCCACCCGCGGCTCGTGGTGCCAAACAAAGGCAAATTAACGCACGACTAGTGCCGCCTCCCAGGTGCGGTCCCACCCGCCCAGGTGAGCCACGGCATGGCACACAAATTAAAGGCCCTCTCTCTTCGCGATGTCAAGGAGTAGAAATGAGGCTCGTTAACGCTCGCTTCTCATCGCCAAAAAAGGAGGCGTTTCTTTGTTAAATGTTGGCCTCCTACTCGTGCCACTGTTTTGTCGTGCTGTTTTTATTGCCTTCTAATTTTCATGTCCTCGTCCCGCATTTTTATCGCGATCGATCGTGCTATCGGTGTATTGTCACAATGCCACATCAAAATCTAAACCAGCATTGGTAATTCTCAGATGCACATTGAACGCAATGTTTATCTCTCCTGTCATTGGTGACCGGGCCTGAGAATATAAACTCGCTGCTGCAAGCTTTGAGAATCTCATTTCATCGCGGGCAGCTGAAACCTGGATTCAAACCCAGGATCTCAACAGTGGCTTGCGGGCAGCTGGCCACCCATTCATTTACGTAACTTTAATTCTACATTTGTCAAAATATTATTTTACCCAGGTCGGCAACTCGGATCGCCACCCGGCACACACCACATCCAGTATACCTCCTGCTACGGAGCGTGGCTACTGGCAGTTTTACACCACCTACCCCCAGTCTATAAGTGACGCGAGTCTCGGACAGGGGAACCGGGTTCCTCGAGGTGACCTTTTCACAATGGCCGTGCGCCACAAGGTCGCCCGTTCCCCTCGCTCCCGACCGGAAACGGTGCCCGTTGTGTCTCTCACGGGCGAGCGTGCGGTGAGAGCCAGGGGCAAAATGCATTAGTATTTTTTTGTATTTTTGGCTGAAAAGCTAACGGCTAACATTTATAATAAACTTTTACAAGCACGCAAATGTTCTCACACGACAACTTCTGCATTTTTGTTCAACAGTGTTTAAATTGAATTAATTTATGGAAAGTGTCCCTTTGTTTAGTTTTTTATATAATGTATATATTCCTTTCCAAAGCATTAATATTTTTCTATGTACGTGTGCCGACATGGGACGGCTTAAGTTATGTTACGAGTTAAACTTTACATTGGTGAACACAAGACGCGTTTAACAGCTAGACGGCGTCGGCAGAAGGGAGGTTCCCGAGCAAGCACGCACGCGGGCTGCGTGTACACGCTCGCGCATTCGCGTGCTCCCGTGGCACACGCGCGTTGACAAGTGCGCATGTGAACGCGCATGTGAACGCGTGCATATGAACGCGTGCATGTGAACGCGTGCGCGTGAACGCGCATGTGAACGCGTGCGTGTGAACACGGGCGTGAACTCGCCACCACGCGCGAGCCAGCAGGTCACGGCGAGCGAGCTGGAGTTCTTTTTCCCGGCCTGCTCTTCATACCATCGTCGTAAGCGTGCATGTGTGTGCGTGCGTGCGTGCGTACGTGCGCGCGCACGCGTGCAGACAAAGTCACGTGTGCGGTTAAGTGGCCCCCGCGCAAAGCCCAGTGTGCAAAGCCAGCCGTGGAAGAACTCCTCGGAGGCACGGAGCTCCGCACTGAAAAGTGGGCGCCGGCTCCCATCCGACGCGGGACGCTTAACGACGAGCAGCACCGCGCGCGGGTGCCCGCTCTCGCACGTGCGGTGCCGCTCACTCGGCCACCGCCAGCTTGCGCTTGCTGGGGGGCAGCAGGTGCATGGGCAGCTCCTCGGGCAGCTCGTGCCCCTCCAGCTTGACCTTGATGAGGTGGTTGGCGAGGGCGAACTCGTCGTCGTCCAGCATGCCGTCCTTGTCCACGTCCGCCAGCTTCCAGATGCGGCCGAGCACCGTGTTGGGCAGCTTCGACTTCACCATCTCCCTCTTGGCACTGGCGCCGCTGATCTTGCCGTCGATCGGCGACAGCGTGTAGAAGATCTCGTCGTAGGCCGGCTTGTCCTTGCTCACGACCCAGTCGGCCTCGTCGGCACCCTCGCCCGCGCCCTCGCCATAGCCGCGACCGAACGGGCCATTCTCTGTGCCCTCGAAGGCGCCGCCACGCACCGCCTGCGAAGGGACACGCGCCTCCTCCTGCCGCACGAGGCCCATGAGCCGCGCGATGTCGTGGCTCAGCATCTCGTCCACCTTCTCGAACAGCTTCGGCTTGAGGGTGTGGAACTTGGTGAAGTCCTGGTCCTGCAGCTGCTCCTGTGGGCGGGAGACACGGCGTACGCACACAGGGGAGGGAGGCGCGGGGGAGGTGGCGGCCGTGTAGGGGTCAGGGGTTAAAGGGCACTCAAGAGGTCACCGCGGCTGCAGCGTCACAAGGATGGATTCTTACAATAATGCCCGTTTAGGGCCAATTGCACTCCGGCAGAAGTTTCACTCGCTGGTGTTAATCATCACCACTCCTAAGTTCACCCAGAAAAGCCTCCTTTAACCCCATCTCCCGGAGCGGCAGTTAAACTCACGGCATAGATTTCTTCAAATCCCCCCCTCTGCCTCTGTCCACCCAGCAGTGTAAATGGGTTTCACCACAGTTGGTCGGTCAGCAGATGGCGTGTGGTGGGGTAAAGTGTGGGCGCTCCCGCGTGTGGCCAGTGTGGAAGAGTTAGGTCAGATGCCCTCCACTCGCATGCGCGGAGACCCCTTCTGCCAGCAGTGGCGCGAGCGAGCGATTGCAGGGGCTGTGCCTTTACCCTTGCCTTTACCCTTGCCTTAACCCCTTTCAGTGGTGGATTATGGAACAGACACCAGGCCCCATGGTGAACCGAGAGCCAGGCGGGACAGGCGGCATGGGCGGTGTTGGCACGCCCGGTTACCTGCATCTTCTTGAGGTTGGGGAAGTCTCCGGCAGAGATCTGGTGCTCACGCTCGATGCGCGTGAAGATCTCGCCCAGGTTGGCGATCAGTTCCTTCTTCTTTGCGTCTTTCCCGAACACGGCTGGCATCTCCTTGCGCAGGTGGCTGATTATGTACGCGTGCACCTAGGCGGGCACGCAGAGGACACGCAGTCAGCACCGGACCAGACGATTGTGCCGCCAAAGACGATGCCCCCCACCACCTCGCCCCCTTCCCCCATTGTGGCTACGTGTTGCGACCCTGGTGCAGGTCAACAATCTTGTTTTTGTGGAGTCACCGATTAGGAAACGAGTCTAAAGTGTGACGTCTACAGACCTGCTTTCCCTATGACGTCACCTGATACCGTTACAGCTGAGAAGCTAAGCAGTTGTTGAGCCTGGACGGTGCTTGGATGGGCGACCACTGTGCATAACACAGGTGTAGTAGGCGGCTCCTGCTGCTGCTGCCCTATGAGGTTGCGTTATCAGCAGAAGGCAGAGCAAAATAGCCATTGTACCATACTAGGCTCCATTATCTATGCTCCCCACCTTCAGCTGTGGCGGTTGTGCGGAATATTTGACCACGTTGATCAGTACCAGTTGGTGAAGGGGGCAGGGGAAGGTCAGGTCAGCACCGGTTCAGATATCACTCCACACTGCTGTGAGTCATAGCCAGGAATCGAACTCGTGCCACTGGGTTCGTCCCGATCTGCTGGCGCAGACTGCGAATTAAATTCCGGAACATTAGAAATGAAGCAGACAATTCACGAATGTGCAGCTCGATCAGTGGGTTTACGGCACACGGAGGCAGGGGCCAGCACAGGGCTCTCGCCTGCTAACGTGCTTTGGTTAACAAACAAATGGAGTCCAGTGGTCGTCAAGTTTCGCCCCAGCTGCAAACCCCCAGCCATGTGAACGAGACCGCAAGGGAACGCAGCATCAGCTAACGCAGTTCTGTTAACATTTTAATTAAAAGTGACATGTGATTTCTCGGCGTGGAAGTGGTTTAGACGCGTGGGCATGCATGCGAGTGAGGGTGGTGACACAGTGGTGAGATGTTAACTCCCTCGCCTGGTATTCAGGAGGTCGTGGGTTCGATCCCGACCCTGACGCCTGCATATGTGGAGTTTGCGTGTTCTCCCCATGGTTGTGTGGATTTTTCTCCGAGTCCTCCGGTTTTTCCCTCCACATTTAAAAACACGCGTTTAGAGTATTTCGCTGCTATGAATTTCCATATGAGAAGCCACTTTGTTGAGCTATCATTTGTGGCCAGGTTGCTTCTGAAAAAGAGCTATATAGCTCAGTGGGCCCTTGCCAGGTAAATGAAAAAATAGTTTAGTTTAGTATAGACACAGCCTCGTGGTGGGGCGTTCGCCGCTTATGGCAGCGGTTCACTGGCAAGGGACCACGTGGGCATTTGTTAAACGTGGCTGGATGTTGTGCCACGCACGCACAATCTAGAGATGCGGTGCCACACACCCGTGATCCGGAGATCCGGTGCCACGCACCCGTGATCCGGAGATCCGGTGCCACACACCTGCGATCCGGAGAGGGCTCCACGCCACTTTACAAGCCGCTTCGGGTTTTATTCCCTCGTCTCGCCCCATACAGCCGCACAGGGAACTCAATCATTTACGTTTTTCCATCCACTTCAACCTACAAAAGCATACTTTCTGAACAGCTCATATAGTAACACTTTGTGATTATTGAAGGGGTTGTATGTTACGAGCTACAAGTAGGTAAGTGTTTATATGCATATTTGAAAACTGTTCATCGGAAGATATTTTTAAAAATATAATTCTCATCTGACCCCATGGTGTACACAAGTGCCATCTCCAACTCTCATTGTCCAACTCTATATCTCTGTGGCCTACCAATCTGCCATGAAGAAGGGTCATGACCCAAAACGTCTCCCGTTATATAATGTTCCTTTCAAGGCCACACGCACACAGCGTAATTGAAATGGAACGCATTGCATTTTCTGAACAATGACACCTTGTGGGCTATCAGGTGTTTTCCTCAATCGTACAGTAAATTCCTGGCTCTCCTGCAGCACACCCCCCCTCACCCCGGGCACAGAACACACCACGAGCGCGTGTGTCTGAGCATGTGTGTACGTGTGTGTGTGTGTGCGTGGAGCGGCAGTGCAGTGGTTCGCGTGCTGCGCTACGAACCCAGCGACCCGAGTTCAATTCCCGTTCGTGGCCAACAGCAGTGACAATAATCTGAGCTGGTCCTGGGCCTCCCCCCTCGGTCGACTCAGCCTCAAATGAGTACCTAGTCCGGTGTGTAAACAGCTCCACTCAGGAGACAAAGGCGGTCAGATGCGGTGCTGGCCAACCACCCCCTCATGTGACGTGCCGGCCTTCATAGGTGCTACTCGCTAACAGCACTTGCCCCAGTCTGTTAAGTCTACACGGGGGATCTCTGTCTTTGTGTGTACATGTGTGATAACAACACTGCACTCTGAGCTGGCGCTGCGTCGGAGAGGAAAACCCGTTGCTCCCTCCGATCTCACGCCCAGCACTCGAGCCCGGTCGCAACCGGTCAGGGCTACAGCAACAACTTTACGGCGCCTGGCACGTCGAGTTGATGGAAAGTTGCGAAGTTTTTATTTTTTCTGTTTGTTTAAGAAGTTTCAGCAGAACCGATGATGGATGCTCGCCAAATCCTGCGGCAGCAACCGTGCGCGGGAAAGGGAGCGTTTACGACAACAAGGTTTTGTACAAAATTATTCCCCACTTGCGGAACACATTATTCACGTCTTGCCAGTTCTGTGTCTGTTTAGTTTTACGTGACAAATGAAACCATTTTTGTCGTACCGAGTGAAGCCAAGAACGCACACACATGCGCACACATACATAACCACGCACGTACACACACACACCGAGGTACCCCTACCCCCCCCACCCATCCCTTGTAGTCGTATGGATTACAGAGGCAAGTTCTGTCAGAGGGCACCTATTAAGGCCGATATGACGCACATGGGCGTGGTGCGGACTGGATCACGCACAGCAACTTTTGTCTCTCTTGTGCTGATGTTCAGATACTTTGATAATAATAGGTCAACATTTTCTTCGTAGTTTAACACGTTGGCTTTCGCGACCAGTATTATTCGCGATTCTGGCAAATGGCCCGAAGATGCTGGATGTAATTACCAGCGAAACGTCGTACTCAAATTCTAAATGTTGTGGATTCACTCTTCGAACACACCGGTGGGCTGAAGAAGTAACTAATTGGCGTTTTGTTAACGTGACATTTTTTACTGATTGGCCGTGTCGGGTGGTGGAGGGATGCGACACATTTATACTTACGAGATCTAACCCAAAATCTTTTATTATGAATTTTCTCCTTAGTCTGAATACATTCTCTGATCCTCAATATCTGTTACTCTTCTTCTCGGTGTAATTCCAAGCATGCTCTCTCCAAGCCTCTTCACCCACTATTCAGTTTTTGTTCCGTTCTCAACGTCTATGTTTCTAAACCGCATGTCATGGCGACAGTACACAACGATCGATTAATCCGTCTGTGTGTCTAACTGCACACACGCGGACGGGCAGACAGAGTCAGATGGACATTCAGAGGGCTAAACAGACGGATGGACATAGATGGATAAGACAAATTCAGGTGGACATTCAGATGGACGGATCAACAGGCAGATGGAGAGATGGACAGATGGACAGTTGGTAGGTTGGCCAGTTGGAGAGACAGACGGACGGTCAGAGGGATGTTCAGATAGACAGCCCGACGGCCATGATCAGCCCAACGGACACGATCAGCGGTTCTCCCACCTTCGCGAGACGCGTCCTCTTGATGAGGTCGTTGAGCTTGCGCAGCGCGGCGTTGCGTGGCAGTGTCTGGATGTCCTTGAAGAGGTCCTGCTCCTCCATCTCGAAGAGGCGGCGGTTGTCGGGAATGAGCAGCGGGTTGGACCAGAAGGAGCCCATGTAGACGCGCACCACCTCAGGGGTGTTGATTACCTTGCCCAGCGACCACATGAGCGCGCCGTAAACGCGCATCAGCTGCTGCGTCTCCACCTGCAGCCCGCGGGGGTGAGAGACGGACGGATGGGGTGATTAAACGGACGAATGGACACACGGACGGACGGAAAGAGGGGAGGACAGAGGGAGAGTTGGATTGACAGATGGACAGACGAATGGTGGGTGGGCGGGCGGGCGGACAGAAGCATTCACGGATGGATAGCCACAGTCATCTTTATTAACGGCCAAAGAAAAAAGGTATACTGGATGTGGTGTGCAGGCTGAAGAAATAGTTTCTAGGTCACCGACATGGCCCTGGTCTCAAAGACCCAAAGCCTTATATAGACTCGTGTAGCGAACCAGTGTCTAACAGAGGGAGTAATTTCTCATTCGATATTTGCTGTCTCGCCAGAAGACCTGAGTTGGCCTAGAAACAGGATGGTAGTGGCACGCGACTCGTAGTAGCCACAGCCATAGCGAGAGGAATATTGGACGTGGTGTGCCGGGAGGGGGGAATATTTCCTCGGTCCTGATTGCACTATCTGTGTCTGTGTCGCGTGCCGGCAATCCATAACCCGCCGCTGATCGGCTGCGAGCGGGATGCAGGTCACCACGACTCCATCTCCCGAAACACCGGGCTCAGAGCCACGGAGCGATTCTCCAAGCTTCCCGCTCTTCAGGAATAACGAGCGTGTGCTGAGGCCATGCGCCCACACACACACATGCGCACAGGCACACACGCGCAGCACGTACCCGCGGACGCCACCTGCACAAACACGAGCACACGCGCTTTGCACCGCCCACACCAGCTGTAGCTGTGATTGTCAAGGTGGTTATGGTGGCGCTGACGGCGATGCCCATGTGGGGTGGTGGTACTGGTGTAATGGTGGTAATGGGGTGGCTGTGCTAGTGGTGGTGGCTATGGTGGTGGTGGTAGTAAAGGTGCTGTTGCTACTGGTGGTGATATAGGGAGCGGTAGTGTAGCGGTTAGCGGGCTGCACTATGAACCTGGTGACCCGAGTTCGATTCCCGCTCATGGCCAACACCAGTGACGATTATTTAAACCGGTCCGGGCCTCCCCTGGGTCAACTCAGCCTCAAATGAGTACCTGGTGCAGTGTATACAAAACATCGCCACTGGGGAGACAAAGGGGGTCGGGCGTGATGTTGGCCACCCACTCCCTCGTGGACTGTGCCGGCCTTCATAGGTGCTCGCTAATAGCACTTGTCCCAACAGTCTGTTAAGGCTATACACGGGGGATCTTTGCCTTTGGTGGTGATGTGCCAGTGGTGATGCTGCCGATGGTGGCGATTGGGCATGACGCGACCACGCAGCCATCGGCACGACTCGTCACCATGACAATCCAGCTGTGCCCCCACCCCCACCCTTCGTGGTGAGGTGCTGGTGAACACCGCTGCCTTTGTTATGGAGCGGCTACATGCGGAGAGCACCTGCAAGCTACTCGCCGCTGGAATTCCACGCGAGGCAGCGCAGCAACACTGCACACATGTCCGCCCTAACCTGTAGTGGCTGGTAGTGCCGGAACAATGAACCACCACACCTACCACCGAGATTTCATTGTTATGATCGTTCCAGATAAGGCGTTTCGACTTTGCGCAATGTGTCCTTCCGGTTAGAATAATAACAAAAACAACAGTAATTTACATCAATCTGTTGTTGTAATGTTTCGGGGGGTTTTTTGGCCATATTTCACCACGCTGATCAGTGCGCTTTGTGCTTAAATAAAACATTTTTACAGATCAGTTTCAAAGTATTTCTCACTACGTTATCCTGAATGCAGCAGGAGCACACAGGCTGCGTGTCAATTCCACAAATCGTCTTGACAAACCGATTCACACGCATACGATTCAGTGCAAGTCTCATGAGCGCGAGTAGCAAATTTAACCTACGAATCACTACACGGCCAATTACCTTAAGGTCGGTCCTACGGGACTCCTGCAGTCTCTGGAGTTCTCTCGCCTGGTGCAGCAAAATCAACTTGCAAAACCTGATTCTAGATTTGAAGCTTTCGTGAATGCAAGGATTCATACTCTGTGGTTTTTTCGGTAAAGTCACATAGGTAAAATAAATGAAAACAACTAAATTAAATCACGACGTTTCGGAGGTGGAAACCGTCACAGCAAAATTGCTGTATCAGTGATTTAATTTAGTTGTTTTCATTTATTTTACCTATGTGACTTTACCGAAAAAACCAAAGAGTTTGCAAAACCTGCCTTGCGCACTTATCTCCCCAAAAGCCAAAAACTCGTCTCTGGCAGGCCATGTGACGATGCTGCCATTCACAGATGTAAACCCACTTGGATTAGTTGATAAAATCTATCATTAAGCTCACGATACGTTCACCGGACGATTCACGTGAAAATCACGCAGTTACGATTGACGCAAATCATATGCTCGCATTACGCTTAGGCGACTTAAACCAAAGTGTACAAGCGATAAAAGAGCAAAATCTATATGAATGGGACGGTGCTAACATCACAAAAATAATTGATTCTGGAATCAGATGGCTGTTGGAGGGAGGGCTAGGTGTTGGGGGGGGGGGGGGGGTCATTACATGCTGGCCAGGCAGAATGGGGGGCAATGGGGGGGGGGCTCATCACCTGGCTGAACGCAATGGAACCGTCACGTGGATTTTTCTCCAGGTCCTTCGGGTTTTCCCTCCACATTTAAATCAACATCACGTGTTTAGAGTATTTTTAGCTGCTATAAATTTCCACACAATGATAAGCGACTTCCTTGAGATATCATGTGGGCCAGGTCGCTTCTGAAACAGAGCTCTATAGCTCAGTGGGCCTTACCTGGTGTAATAAAAAAATGGTTTAGTTTCAGTCATCGCCTGGACATGGAGAATGGGCCGGAGGGAGCCCTCAGTCGCGGGCTCCACTGTGCAGCAGACCGCGCGCATGCCTTCCCCTCCCTTCCTCCCTCCTTCTCCCCACCTGGTCGGCCTTGTTGAGCACCACGCGGATCTTGTCGTCGTGGCCCTTGAGCGCGCGGATGACCTCGGAGAACTCGTCCGAGATGTCGAGCTTGTGCGCGTCGAACAGCAGGATGATGCGGTCCACGCGCTCGGCGAACCACGTGAGCACCGCCGTGAAGTCGTAGCCTGGGGGAGGCGCGGGGGCGCACGCACGGCATGAACGTCACACGTGAACCAATACCAATACCCGCCATTTGCCACTAAGTGACGGTGACATCACCACAGCGCCTGTGCCAGGCACTTTGAAGCCACGTGAAGTGTCGAAGGCTCACTGACAGGAGGTCTCGGGACAGACCCAGGTGTCATGGGTTGGCTGACTGATATGACTGGTAGATGCACCAGCTGTACCCCCTACTGTGCCAACTTGCTTCATTTTAGCCACCCGGCACTCCGCTCGTTGTTGTGAGCATCGCTCCTCTGCCCTCCGTTGTTGCTGGAGGGTGACTGCCTCCAACTGCCCAGTAGCGTCCTTCACGAGCCTCCTCCATAGAGGCCAAACTTGAGACGGCTGGTACCAGTCATCGGCAAGTCCACTTTGCTCGACATCCTCTCGTACCGCATCAGTCCATCTCTTCTCCAGCTCAAATCGTGCCCGTTTAGTCCCCTCTATGCGGCCAAACAGAAGCTGCTTGGGAATGCGGTGTCTGAGCATGCGGTCTACATGACCTAGCCAATGCAGCCTTGCCTGCCTGAGGAGGTCACCGATGGGAATGTGTCCAGGTCTTTCAAGGATTTGTGTGCTCCTCACACTGTCCAGCTTGGTTAAACCCAGAATGGATCGTAGGCATGCCAGCCTGAATGTTTCTAACCGGTGCAGATGTTCCATTAGAGGGGTCCACGTTTCATAAGCATAGAGAAGGGAGGGCATGGCCAAGAAGACCTGAAGCTTCGTGCGTAGCGACAGACCAGGCAGCTTCCACACAGCATTGTGCAGCTGACGAAAAGATAATGCCGCCCAACTTATTCGGAGTAAGACCTCTGCTGTCAAACCGGAGCAGGTCATAAGCACACTGCCCAGGTATGGGAAACTCTCCACTCTCTCCACAACTGCTCCATCACACATGAACACACGCGAGCGCACACACGACATGAACGTCATGTGTGAACACAATACCATATGCACAGCACACACATGGCATGAATGTGACGCATGAACACACATGAGCACACATGGTATGAACGTCACGTGTGAACGCACGCGAGCGCATGAATGGCTTAAAATTTCCACGCATCTCGTTTGAATCGTTTTTAGTTGTATGTTTTTCCACATTGTTAACTGTTACGTAATGTTTCACGCTATTTAAACGGCTGTGTTGGCCCAGAATCATGTGTGAACTGTACTCTGCAGCTGTCATCCAGGTGTCACTTAAGACGCTCAGTCTTACCTGGTTCTCGCTCACCTGGCTTGTATCTGACTCTCCCCTGGCCCTCACTTGGATTTAACTCACCTGGCCCTCACCTGGCCCTCACCTGGCCTGCATCTGCCTCTCTCCTGGCTCTCACACGGCCCTCACCTGGCTCTTACCTGGCACTCACCTGGATCTAACTCACATGGCCCTCACCTGGCTTGCATCTGGCTCTCACCTGGCCCTCGCCTGGTCCTCGCCTGGGTTAAGGAACACTTTTTTTGATGTACTGCATTGACAGTGGTGCAAGGCACAAACTACAAAATCTTAATACAATCCTTACAAACACTGCCCCAAACTAAAAGAGACAAATATATAACAGGTGACGTTTTGGACAATGGCCCTTCTTCATCTGCCGGCATAAGTGAAGTACTGATTGATTGGTTCAAACTGCCAGTACCCACTTGTCTCAGGCAGGCTCGGAGCGGAAAAGTAACAGTATCATGGTGCAACTCAAAAGGAAATAAAAAAACAACATTCACACCGCTATGAGGCCAACTTGATGGCGGATAAGCTCGTGCAAAGAGCCTGGCAAAATCGCCAATTGAGGGGAAAATGACTGCGCCACAGCAGGCATAGCAGCCTTGTGTTTACCGCGGGTGCGGACGAGGGGCAGGGAACCACCGCTGCTCACATGCACTTAGAAAACGAGAAGAGCAGAAGCAGCACAGCAACCAGCACAGCAGCGGCACAGCAACCAGCACAGCAGCGGCACACCAACCAGCACAGCAGCGGCACACCAACCAGCACAGCAACCAGCACAGCAACTGGCACAGCATCACACCGACCAGCATAGAAGCAGGACTTAGTTTCTCACTGGATATGTTATGGGTTGCTGGTAGACTGTAGCCACAGCCATAACGATAGGTATATTAGACGTGGTGTGCTTGGTGCGTAAATATTTTCTCGGTTCGCCGACCCAGACAGAGGTGACTGAAATTACACTCTGGTCAGATGACTTAGTACTCATGGGTGGTTGAGTAGTCGGTTAGGGTCAGGGGGCCAGCGCTACTGCCTTGGTTGACTATTCAGTTAGGGTCCGTGTTAGAGCTAGTAGCAGTGGCTGGTTGGTTGGTCGGTTAGGATTAAGAGTAGAGCTAGAACCAGTGGCTGGTTGGCTGGTCGGTTACTGTTGCGAGTAGAGTTAGTACTAGGAGCTGGTTGGCTGGTCGGTTAAGGTTAGGAATAGAGCGAGTAGCAGTGGTTGTACTCGTGGCTGGTCTGCGAGGGTTAAATACTGCTAGCATTTGGTTGGGCATTGCGCCTAGCGTCCTGACTTCTCGCTCCTCCTCCCCGATACTCCACACAGCCCCTCTGCAGTTGCTGGTGTTGTTTACGGTAGCATCGCGACCTCGCGGAACAATCACAGTCACACGGCACATGCCTCATGGTACCGCCAGCGTGCGGCATAGCCGTTCGAACCGACGGGCGGAGGTGGCCCGGCGCACAGGAAATATTCAAGTGGTGCTATATTTAGTTTCGTCTTTAAGATTTTCCCAGTCACGCAAAGGCTACATTTCATCCTCGGCGCCCCCTGTCACACCCAACGCCGTCACCATCCTTCCGGCAAAACCTCTGCCGCACGAGCGAGGCAGGTAATGGCAGGAAGGGGAAGAGGTGATCCGTGGGAATTTCAGCATCAGTGCCCATCTGCTTATCTCCTCTGCGCTGCCACTGCTGTCGCCGCTATTAATACAACGGCCACACGTCTACCAGGATGGGATAACATCCAAGCCGCAAGGCGGCACAGGAAGTGCCAACTTTGTTTTCCAAGCGGCGCCAACGTGCGTTCCCCCCGTCCGGCGTTTGTGCGGCGGACGTCACGGTTGTGATCGAGAACGTTGCGGACGAGCCAAACACGGCGTCGCCGCCTCAGTGACCTCTCTGTGGCTGGCCGTGATTTACATCCGTCAGCAGAACGGTCTCACCGAAAGCCTGGCTGTGGCCGATGCTCTCCTCGCTGTGCACTCAGATTTGTGCGGTTGCTTTGAAGGTCTTTGGGAGCGATCGACCCCCCCCTCTCAGCTAAGAACTGAGGCCCGTGTGTGTCAGGGTGTGCATATGCCAACCACCTCAAATGAGCATATGGTGCAGTGTGTGATAAACATCAGCACTGGAGAGACAAAGGTGATGCTGGCCGCCCCACCCACACGTGTACCATGTTGGCCTTCGTAGATGCTTGCTAACAGCAGCCTGTGCCACAGAGAATTCCGGGCTCGAAATTGGCCTGTTCAGCCATCTGCGCACTCATCAAAACCCAACAAAATGACAAACGTGCCATGGTCATCATGAACAACGATGTACGAACAAGAAGGAGAGAGTGTGGGCTACACGGGGCATCTTTGTCTTTGTTCTGTGTGTGCCCACCTCGGCTGATGCGCTGCTTCTCTCCAGACAGGATGCCCGGCGTGTCGATGATGCTGATGCTCTCCAGAACGGGGTTGGGCAGCTGAGCGCACATGAACCTGCGGGAGGGCAGGGGTCATGCGGGCACACACGTCCACCATTACGGGCATTAAGCAGCAATACCTGCGCAATATCGCTTCGCAAGTAACCGCAACGGAACGCAACCTGAAAAGTACGTAAAAAAGCGTGGAGGAGGAAGCCAACCGGGGAACACAGCAGAGTGTGTGTGTATCCAGGGCAGTTACGGAAAGTGGGCCAAGACCAAAACGATGATATAACGAGGGGGAAGAAGAAAGCCGTTTGGAGTGATTTTGGAAAGCTTAATAACGGAAAACAACATCGCAACGTTGTTACAGAGGAACGTGTGAATGAGTTGGTGCGTTACGTGCTCTGACGTACGGATCACAAGCAGACATTGGACAAATCAAGCAGAGCGCACAGTTGAACGCGCACACAGAAGCGCGGAGACACACACGCTTGGAATGACAGCGGGAGACAGGAAGAGGAGCACGTGGATTACAGAACACGTAGAGGGTGCGTCACGTTGACCGTGAGGATAGGTAGGGCTTTTGCGGAGGACACGTCGCTAAAAGGGACGCTGGCCGGCGGTGGAGACTAAAGTCTGAGAGGCGGCCAAAGGAGAGAACGCACCCCAGTACGTCCTCCGCGGAGAGATGGAGCGACGAAATCAGCTCGTGTGCGGGCGCTCATCCTTGTACTATATTTGATTCGCAAATTAAAAACACAATCGCAAACATTGTTCTGTATGTACATCAATCGTCGTATGATTACGATAATCATGATTCAATAATATTTGTGAAAAATATCAATAAGTCGATAAGTTTAAAACATTGCAATTTAGCCATCCATCAATAGGTGTCACTCGTGAGCAATCTCAACCAACGGTACTCAACAAGAGGTGACCGTCAGCTCTCCAGCACAGGTCACGCCCTCTCAAAAACGCAAATCTCATGAGGGAAGTACATTTCCTTGGCCATGATTTGGTGCATTACTCATCCATGTGCCAGATTTGGTTCTCAAGTTACAAGCAGAAAGATAGACATCTCTCAAATGATCCACAACAGTATGAATTACACTACTTTTGCTGAGAAACAGGAATCTACTCTTGATTTAAAGTAATCTTCCCAAGACGATTTACGTTACAGGGAATTCATTATTTAACACCGGCTAGTGTTTGTGCAAGATTTTAGATTTCTCTTGCGATGACGCAGTTGATTCTTGAGACCGACCTCCATTTCCTCTATCCTGGTCTCTACGAGTTCTCAAATGGTTACAACACAAAATCAACTTGCCTTGATTTGTGCGACTGTAGTGTTCTCGTTTGTCTGCTGTTATTTTCAACAGCGTGCTTTTGTTGCAACCCAGATCTCCCTTGCAAGGCAGACTTTGTCTCAAAGGGCTCCTCTCAATTGGCTATAATATTTATGTACACAGTATATATGTGTGGGTGAATGTACCTACTACATGATATATTTTGGGGGTATGAATGTGTTTTGTAGGTGTGGCTAAGTAGGAGACACAGCGAGTTAGATCAGTTGGCAGCACAGGTGGTGCATTTGCCGGTCATCTTGGTCAGTGAACCAATGGCACCTGGGTCTGTGCCGTGACCTCCTGCCAACAGAACGGTGGCGAGAAGGGCAAGATATTAACTGCCTCGCCTGGTATACAGCAGGTCATGGGTTTAATCTCGACTCAGACGTCTGTATATTTGGAGTTTGCATGTTTCTCTGCCCGTGGGTCACGTGGATTTTTCTCCAGGTCCTCCGGTTTTTCCCTCCACATTTAGAAACATGCGTTTAGAGTATTTGGTTGCTATAAATTTCCACACGATAAGCCATGGGAATCATCGCCCGCGCAGTTATGTAACTGCACGGGCGATGGTTCCCATGGGAGGCACAACGACACCGCAGGAGGGCGAGTGAGCCTCGGAGACGAAGGGGAAGCAGATGGCACCTGTGGCTGATTGTGAGTCAGCACAGGTGAGACTGTGGAATCACAACTCACCAAATTCACACCACTGTGCAGTCCATTCGTCACCAGGTGTGCTGCGTCCCGGCCTCACTCTTTTTCAATGCAATCATATTAACATCCTAATGCAGCAAGACCCTCCCAAAAACGAGTGTTGAAACTCGGTGAAGATCTATGGGTAATTCAAGGGAGTGACTTTTTAATCTATACAAAGTGATCCGTTTTAAAATACTCCATTGATTCCTAATGGCCCGCTTTGATGTCTTGCCTACAGCCGATTGAATGTTGAGAAAGAGATGGATCTGTTTCCGAGAGAATAAAGCGTTTAAAATAATGTTTAACGAGTGCAGTGAGACTGGTGGGGGGAGATAACAAAAAAAAGTTGCCTTCTCCGTACAGAAATTTCTCCCGAAAATTTCTACTCGAGAATCCACGAACGGATCGCCCTGTACGTAATGCCATGATAATGGCGGGTGAATCGTGGCGTAGGGGTTGGCACGCCGAGTTAAGATTTCCATTCCCTTGCATCGGGCACGGCTGACGACGGGGCGATCGCGCTGCTGCCGACTGCCCGCGCACCTGCGTGCAGTCTTGTGCTGCCGCGGCAATAATCGACCTTGTCTTTTTCCAAGCACGCTACGCGAACGGCGACTATGACCGTGACAGCGATTATGATGATAGGGTTGATGATGATGGTGGTGGTGATGGATGCGTGCACTGTACAGCACACATAGCCAAGACATGCAGGCATGATAATGGACTCGCTATGCTCTACAAGCCTTAGAACACACACACACCTGTGCAATCCAGGACTTAAGACTAATATCCACCTTTATAGACTGCTGGGGGCAAGTGTTGTTAACAGGTAGTGTTGTGGCCGACACCACGGGCGATCGCATTTGTCTCCCATTGTTGATGCTTACACACTGAAGCTGAGTCGACCCTCGGGGGGAGGGCCCAGGACTAGTTTACATATCCCTGGCCACTGATGTTAGCCGTGACCGGATATAAAACTCAGGTGTGCTGGGTTGTAACAACAATGCACTCACCACGATGTCACCACCCTACCCAACACCTTACAACACACCTGTGTAGTACACGACGCACATACCCGTCCTCCAAAACCCTAAAAACTCTATAACAACCTTTCCTGGCCTCTAACACACACATACTTGTCCTCTAACACACACATGCCTTGCATCACAAGGACAGTACGCTATTAAAATACCATACAGGTAAATGTCAGAGAACCTGAAGCTCATGGGACCCACGTGAAACATTAACGTCACAGCTCACCACGGTCACGCGCGACAGACGTGCTCGCTCAGGTGAGACATGAGAGCTGCGCTCAATTCTGGGTTCCAGCCGCTGCTGATTTAAAGACCGGGTCCTCTAGGTGCAGCGATTTGATGTCTTCAGCTTGGTGACCAGTGATTTAATTAAAGATCTACAGTCCCACATAGAAACCCGTAGACTTGCATAGAGTCCCATAGACCTTGATAGAGCTATGATTAAACCGGGTTCTCCAGAAGAGCCAGTTGATGGTATCACTTGGGTTTTCACCTACTTTAGATACATTATATCTCAGAGGGTTAACTAAATTCAGTTGCATCACCATGCAATGACCACACTTTGCAGGGCATGTGAAAGATGTTCACCTAATTGTGGATAGAGGCAGATTGAAGTGACTTAGAATTAGTTCCGTGACATCATCTGCCAGGGCCATTATCTGACACGACGCCGATGTCAACACAACAAGAATAATGAGCTTACATCTTTGTTAACCCACTGATGTCAACTCCCTTCCCAGGCCGTATCGGTCATGTGGGCTATTTTATCATACTTCACCACGCTGATCAGTACAGACTGGCCAAGGCAGTGGACCCATGACTCACGCAGATACTCCAAGCCACTGATGTTAGCCGTGGCCGGAAATCAAAATCAAGCCGGCTTGTTCACAATGCAGTGCGCTGACCACCCACATCAACACACGTGTAATACATGAATAACCCAGAGTGATGTGTTGCTCAAATGAGCAACCCTAAGCCAGTGGTGGAAGTTCAACATACGTATGGCAGGACTGAGTCTCTCCACGAGTCACCCCCCAAGAAACTTGCAAACCGTCTGAATGCCAGCCGGTTCGCATAGGCGCGAGTGCAGTGTAATTGGGAACAGTTTGTCTTCGTCGAATTTTCATGACACGGATGGGGGAAGGATGATTCCAAAAAGTCGCAGCGGCTGGCGATGGTACAGTGGAAGGGAGCGCTACACGTGGACCACGCAGTGAGCTCATCGCTGTGTGTATGGAGGGGGGGCTTCCGGATCCACCTTGAGGCCAGAGTCGAAAAACCGGTTCTCCTTTTTTTCATTTGCAAATAACTATTTGTAAAAAAAAAATAACCGATTGTTTCCACCTCGAACGTTTGCCAATCCACCGGGGTTCCAAAATAATGCCCCCCCCCCCTCCTTAACGCCCACGAACATCGCATGCAAACATCGGCCACAACTATCAACCACAAACATTGCCAACAAAGATCGCCTACGAACATCATTCGCAAACGTCGCCCACAAATGTCGCTCGCAAACATCGCCGTCGACTCGGCAGTGTCGTGGCCTTCACACCTTTACGTCTCTGAAAGACAGGTGAACCCGGCCACGATACCACGAAACTCTGGTTGGTCAATTACAATGCAAGGTGGATTTTATAACGTCTACATGCGACCGCATCTCTCGATGGTGTGCAAACACAGTGGCATATTTAGTCTATAGCAAGAGGCAGTCTGACGTAGGAAGAAAAAGGTGGGAATTGAGCCAAAGCCTGACATTTAACAGCGGCATGGAGTCCGAGTCTCTCCGCGAGTGTGCGGGTCTCTGTGCGAGCCGAGGATCTCTCTGGAGTGTTTGCCTTCATGGATCTCTATGCGAGTCCATGGAGACTTCTGTGGTCCTCGAAAAAAAAAACCTCAATGCAGTAACAATGTTGATTGATAGCGTCTACACGTGACCACATCTCGAGAGATGCTGTCCAATAACCAGTGGGCACGTTTGCTTTACGGAAAAGAAAGCGACA